CAGACACATCCATGTGATGGACACCAGAAGCAAGCAAGAAGCCCCCAGCTATAGAACTTTGAACGGGGCAGTGGAGAAGCCCCTACCCCTACCCCGGTCTGTGGAAGAGTCCTATATCACCAGTGAGCACTGCTACCAGAAGCCCCGTGCCTATTATCCTGCTGTGGAACAGAAGTTGGTGGTGGAGACACGCAGCTCTGCTCTTGATAATGCAGTCAACTCACTCCGTGAGAATGGTGATGATTCCTTTTCCCCTCACCTGGGCTGGCCTCTGGACCAAGACAGGAACAGAGGGGACAGCGACCCCAGACCCAGTCCCCCAAAAGTATGTGACTTGCTTGTACTGGTTCTTAATTTGGTATTTGAGTACTTCTAAGTTCCCTGCCTGTGGTTAAATGCTCTGTGGAAGATATTTCTTAGTAGAACTGTATTTAATTTGCCTATCATAGGTGTTTTTGTTCTGTTAAAATGAAATGCAGCCAGGAGAGCCCATATAAACCAAAGATCATTGGTTCCAGGAAACCCTTTGAAATGGAATAGTCATTTGGGTTAAGGAGCAGAAAGGTGGGGAGTGGCAAGGAGAGAGGGTTGACTGGAATTTGAAAAAATGAAACTAAGGAAAATGTATCTTTTCTTTAATACCAGTTACATTACATTTGTACCCAGTTGCTAATTGTTACCATGATCAATGAGTCAAGTGTTTTGTTAGGGATAATATATTCAATAAAATTGTATGATATTTTTATTTTGACTTTTAATTTTGCAGCCCTGTCAAGAAGGGTCCATTTCATCAAAGTATTTGCTGCTTTCGACAGTTTTCCAAAGACCTACTCTCAGTTGTTTGTTATTCTAGTAATTTTCTTCTTGTACCCCGTGTCATGCTATAATTGCCAGTGTTCACTACTTTCACTGTGCCCATCCCGAATTTTCAGTGAGGCTTGTATAAATTCAGAGCTTCTCTGCCCTTGTGCTTTCAGAGACTTGATTCTGTGGGTTGGCATCACCAGCATTAACAGCCTGTGCCCTTGCCAATGTCTAAACAGTGTTGGGCCAGGGTGGTAAGCACACCGTCTAGTGAGACAGATGTTGTTCCAAGTCTGGGTTCAGCCACTTTGTGATTCTGAGTGGGTTGCTTCCCCTTCCTGATCAGACTTATTTTCTCACCTGTAGAATGAAGCTGTTAACTATGCCCCTCAATTACTATGGAATATGTTTATGAAAAGCTCTCAGTACATTGCTTTGCACATACTAATGTCAAAATTAATCTCAGCTGGAATGTATTTTATTTTGTTTTTTTGGTACCAGGGATCGAACTTGGGACCTTGCGCTTGCGAGGCAGGCGGCGGTTTATTTTATTTCAAATGAATGAATGAAGCCAGGCATGGTGGTGCACACCTCTAATTCCAGCACTCTGGGCTAATGAGGCAGGATCACAAATTTGTGTCCAGCCCAAGCAATTTAGTGACTTAGTGAGACCCTGACCCCGCCCCCCCCCCCCAAAAATTAAAAAGGGCTGAGGATGGGGCTGGGGATTTAGCTCAGTGGTTCCGCCACCTGCCTTGCAAGTGCAAGGTCCTGAGTTTGATCCCCGTACCAAAAAAAAAGGGGCTGAGGATGTAGATCAGCGTGAAGGCCCTGTGTTTAATCCCTCATACCACAAACAAACTAATATTGAATGAATGAAAGGCTGAGATCCCAAACTCCAGAAAAGGTTTACAATCCTGTGGACTAGGCAGGTTTCCTAGAGGTGTCTGTCCACAAAGTCAGGAAATACTGAAGTAGGGCAACCAGAGTTAAAATCTTTTCTGGTGCTGCTGAGCTGAGTCTAAATTGGCACTGTGTTTGTTTTATATACCATACCCTATTTCATTCTCATGAACCTTCAAAGTGAGTTTTACTACCTCCATCTTCTCAGTGAGAGAACAGAGGCTCAGAGACAAGGAGCTCACCAGAGCCTCACATTCAACAAGAGATGAAGCCAGGACTCTCCAAACTTGTGTGACTGCTATGTGTTAAACCACATCCACACTAGCTTTGCTGTAGTCAGCTCTCAGGGGTGTGGGCATGGGGCATTGGGCCAGCCATGCAAAACCATTTGTGGGGTCCCTACTGTCCTGAGGAGGTGACATTGTGCAGTGGGAAGATTTCCACCCAACCCCCAAATGAGAAAGGAGATGAGGATTTGGAGTATTCAGGCCACAGCTGGTTTTTCAGATGGTTTCAAACACTGACTGGTTGGAACAGGTGTTGGAAGCCCTCTCCATGCAATAACTTAAATGTCATCATATCTCCAGGTGAGGGACTGTGTCTCCAAAAAGGTCCTACCAGAGGAAGCCCCTGCTCGGAAGCTGCTGGACAGAGGTGGAGAGGGGTTGGTGAGCTCCCAGCATCAGTGGCAATTTAACCTGCTGACACATGTGGAATCTCTTCAGGATGAAGTCACACACAGGATGGACTCCATTGAGAAAGAACTGGACGGTAGGGCTCCTTCCTAAGCCCCCTGGTCATTGGCATGTACTCTGTCATCCCTTCTGTCCCACAAGCTGCTTTTTTGCTTTGTTTTTGAAAATGGGGTCTTTTTATGTAGCCTAGGCTGATTTTGAATTTGTGAACTCAAGTGATCCTCTTGCTTCAGTTTACTAAATAGCTCAGACCATAGGTGTGTTCCATCATACCTGGCTTATGCTGATTTCTGACCACCCCCCCACAATCTGGCTATCTGGGGACAGATATATTCTAGCCTCTTGTTTTCAACCTCATCCACCTTCATTCTCCCATAAAGGAGGACAAGCTTGACTTTTAGTGTTTATTGGGTACTTATAAAGTCTGATGCTATCAGGGATTCAGCCCCTTCTTCAGAGGTGACTGTGGAGGGCAGTTGGGGGAGGTGATGCCCAGTGGTAGAACATGTGCTCAGCATGCAAGAGGCCCTGAGTTCAACTCCCAGAACTACAAAAACAAAACAAAATGGTACATTAAAAAAAAAAAAATGGTACATACACAGAAGAAAACTGGACCCTGTTTGCAGGAAACATGTTATCTGAGTAAGTCTTTACTAACAAAGTTCTGTGAAGAATTATACTTTTGACTTGAATTTTAGGATGTAATCTGAAAATTCTTTTATTTCAAACTTTGATAAAATCTAAAATGAATCCTTTTCCTCTTTATCCAGTAGAGATTTAAGTTATTTGTATACCCCTGGCTCTTTCGCCTAGATTATTGATGATAATAGACGGACTTGGAGGACTGAACTTGTAATGATGAACATGATTAAGTTCAGTCCTTCTTTGCCTCAGGAAGACAAAATTCATTCATTCATTCTTTCTGTATCTGTCTGCCCCCTTTCTTTTCTTTTCTCCCTCCCTCCCTCCCTCCCTCCCTTCCTTCCTTCCTTCCTCTTTTTGAGACAGGTCTCTCTATGTAGTTCAGGCTGGCCTTGAACTGTGTAGTCCAGCCTGACCTCAAAAGTGCAGTGATGGTTTTTGTTTCAGCCTCCTGAGTGCTGGAATTACAGGCATGCACCACTATACCTGGTTTCTTGTTTACTTGTTTTCTGACTGTTCATTTAAAAAATGGAACCTAGTTTAGAAATAAGTGTTCTGTTTGAGGATTCTGGGTACAGTCAGGCTATGATGACTATAACTGAGGATATAAAACATATGTAAAGTAGGGCTGGGGATTTAAGCTCGGGGGCTCCACCTCCTTCCTTGAAAGCACAAGGTCCTGAGTTTGATCCCCGGTACCAAAAATACATATGTAAAGTAACAGAAAAATGCCATGTTATACAAGCCAGGGCCATGAGGTGTGGCCAGGACACCTGTGTGGCTGAGGCTATACTAGGCAAAGAGAGTGCTGACAGAAAGCTTTCCTGGAACTCCTGGGGCTGATGCCAAGCCTTGAAGGGAAGAATAATGTTTTCTGCTGGAGAGGGAGAGAGTCGGGATAGAAGATGAGAGGACCGAGTCAGTGGCTAAAAGGAGTCCCCTGGTGGAGGACAGAGAAAGAGAAAAGGAAAGATAAACTCTGTGTCTTTGAGCTTATGTCCTGCCCATGAGGCAAGACTGAGGGCACTTCTGGAAGGATGTTTCTGCCTCTTTTACTCCAAAAAGGTTCCTTTGGGCTTGTTGGAAGTGTAACTGATGCCACTGTCGGTGAAAAACATGTGATTTTTTTTTTTTTTTTTTTGGTACCAGGGATCGAACTCAGGTCCTTGCGCTTTTGAAGCAGGCAGCGAAACCACTGAGCTAAATCCCTGGCCCAAAAACATGTGATTTTGAGAGAATGGTAGAATTGGCTCTGGGTCTCTGAGAGGAAGCTTAACGCCATGGAAACAGGATCAATGTTCTGTTGTTGCCAAAGAATCTGTCTGTAGGGGAGAAGTCAGACCCTGGGTAGATCTTACCTCCCTCTACCCCTGGGCTCCCTCTAGCCTTCGTGGCCTGGTGATTGGCATCATATATTCTTTAGGGAACTTTTTTTTTTTGTTGGTACTGGTAATTGAACCCAGGACCTTCCACTTGCCAGGCAGGCTCGGTGCCACTGAGCTAAATTCCGGGCCCTGGCATCACATATTCTTATGTGTTCTAGTACTCTAAGCCCTGAGAAGTATAAAGGAAGGATGAAAATCAGTGATAAAGCTTAAAGATTTTATTTAGGTAAACAGACTTGTGCATTGTATTTAGATTCATCAGAATCCCTTTTAGGGAGTCAAATCTTCAGTTCATTTAAAATAGTCAATTTAGTAGGAGAGACAGGTATTAATGAAATTATCCCATTACTAATCATTAGTAACCCTAGCACACAGTGCTGTAACCCTAGCACTCAGGAGGCTAAAGCAGGAGGATCAGTATGAGTTCAAGGCACGCCTGAGCTACGTAACAAGACCCTGTCTCAAAAAAAAAGAAAGAAACCATGAAAAATGCTCAAAGGAGTGTATGATACCATAACACCAGTAACACAGAGTCCAGATTCAGGGTGTAGAGTTTGGGAAGGCATCCCTAAAGAGTAACTGCAGGGAGCAAAGGACACAGAGAATAGAAAGGAAGGTAGGGTTTGTGTGGAGGGTTGGGGATTGTATGGCAGGTGGCAGGCTGCTTGAAGAATGGGTGCTTGGAAGGTCTTCCCATTTCTGAACTCCAGGGTCCCAAAGATGCTCAGTACAGGTTGGTATGTAGACTAGGAAGGCTGTAGGCAAGCTACACTAAGCACAGGGCGTGCCTTGGAGGGTTGGCTCTTGTCAAAGGTTCCTAGATGGCCTCTCCACAAATGCTACAGCTTCAGGGGTTACCTTGGTAACAGCTTTTTTTTTTTTGACAGCTTTTTATAGAGAAACTCTTGTACTTACAAGCAAGACAACTTTCCAGATAGTGAACCAATTATAATCAAGTATTTTAGTACCCATATATCTTATATTAAATTCTCAAAGGGATGGGCTGGGGATTTAGCTCAGCTGTGGAATGCTAGCAATCCTGATGCCCAAGGTTTGGTTCCCAGTACTCATCCCCCCAGTAAATTAGGGAAAATAAGAATTATGTATCAATCAGGAATCAATATGAAGCAAACCAAAAGTGATGGTAAAACAGACCCTTTTAAGTCCCTGTAGATTTTCATGTTTCTTGCTAGGTGTGGTAGTGTACACCTGTAATCTCAGCACTCAAGAGGCTGAGGTAGGAGGATTGCCATGAGTTCAAGGCCAGCCTGGGCTACATTGTGATTCCAGGCCAGCCTGGAACACATGGCAAGACCCTGTCTCAAAGCAAACAAAAAAAGATTTTCATTTTTCTTGACAGGAGGCTAAAACATCAGGCTCTCTGATTTCTAACATGGAAAAGCTTTAGAAAGAGTGGGCAATGACACTGAGAAAGGAGGGTGCTTCAAAGTCTTTTAAAATAGCAACTAGCAATGTGTGGCTACTTAATTAAAACTGAATAAATTTTAAAGTTCAGGTCCTCAGTTGCACTAGGTCATGTTTTGAGTGCTCAATAGCTGCATGTGGCCAGTAGCTACTGTGTTGGATGGCACAAATGTAGGACATTTCTGTTATCACAGGGTTCCTTTGATTTATGCTGGTGTGAAGTGTTTGAACTCTGTCCTGGGAGCAGTGGTTGTGGGGTAGGTGGTGCGACATTGCCTGAAATAGCCCTCGTTCCCCTCTCCCATGTGTGGTTAGGTGGGAGAAGGAGCTGGAAACTCTTGCTGAGGTTCTTGCAAGTGTTGGGAGCTCACTGGGTCTTTCTTTTTGCCAACAGTGCTGGAGAGCTGGCTGGACTACACTGGGGAGCTGGAGCCCCCGGAGCCACTGGCCAGGCTTCCACAGCTCAAGCATTGCATCAAGCAGTTGCTGACAGACCTGGGCAAGGTGCAGCAGATTGCTCTCTGCTGTTCCACATGAAATTGGGCACTCAAGACTAATGAGGGCACAATCCTAGGGTACCTGCAGGAAGAGCTTCGTATATTTAAATAAACCTAGCATGCTGAATGCAAGTGATATCGACTGACTTCAGGGATCTGGCCAGGAGTGTGATGAACATTGGACAAAGAGGCCATTTTGGCTTTTGGAGGGCAGGGCACTCTCATCTGGAAGCCT